ATTTAACTGTGCCGGAAGTGATACGTCAAAAACATTTAGGAAAACTTACTGTTTTGTTTTGTTTCACTGAAGTCAGGCATGAGTGGCATGCAGTAGATTGCAAGGAAAACCAAAAGGACGTCCATTTCCAAAGGATATATAATCTCCATGCACATGTAAAATGTCTCTTACAAAAATCATTAATTTTTGTTAAAAGTGTGCCTTTTTGCCTCTTTTTATACAAGTGTACATGCAATTACCTGTCCAAGCTAAAACTATTTACAAAATTTCATAATACAATACATCTTTTAAAGTGAATAATACATGAAAGGCCAATGTTTTCTGTTGTTTTGTAACACTGTACAAGATTAAAAATAAATAAGGCATTATAATACAGGTTTATCACAAATTAAAAAATGTTGGTTTTCACTGTAATACAAAACTCTAACTTGAAAGAACATTATGGCTAAATAGTCCTCCTGCCTGGGCAGAACACATACAGAATCTGGACTTGCTGATGTAAAGAAAATGCATTGTTTCTGCTACAAGCAGGAATCCAACACATGAAAATTATTCACACTACCTACTAATGTGTTCAGACTCCTCAAAGCACTGAAATGGCACAGGTCATATACTGTTTCCCTTCAAACAGTGACTCCCAAGTACATTATTTTGCCTTACAGATAAATTACAGGCAAAAGTGTGAAAGAGATTTAGGTGCAAAACCTACTCCAGGTTACAGTGTTGTAAAATATTCAGTTTGGTACTGACATAAGACATAACTATATCCAAAGCAGAACTTGGCCTACAGAAGCTCAACTCATGACCATCACAAGCATGTTAAACTCCTGGTGATTGCTGCAGGCCTTGTGGGTACAATAAAGGATGCAGATTCAGCCCTAACAAGCTGAAGCTTTTGGCTCTCAGTCTCACCTAGAGAAAGCAAGGGAGAATTCACATGTGTTTTGGTGAAGATAAGGGAGTGTGACTTGCCACAGCAGGAAGCAGCTACAAAAACGTATGCATTTTACAGGCTGGGTAAAATAGCTTTCTAGTCCATGTAAATGGAATATGTTTGGAAATATCTAGTCAGTAATTAAATGGAATGCCAGTTTGCAATCTCGGCAGAGAATAACAATTAAAAATTCATTTGAAGGTAAAGGTAATATAGGAACACTTAGAAATTAGCTCCCAAGTCTAAAGATTTCTGATACTATATAAAGAATGAAAGACTTCAATTATTACTATTATCTGAAAGAGAAAACATGCAAACTGATGTGAAATAGTGTGCTTGCTATTGACAGACATTGGCATGCCAAAATGGCATTACTTTGTTGTAGGGCTTGTATCTGATAACTCTTTCAAGCTAACAGGAGCACAAAGCAGTGAACAGGTTACAGGAGGCTATTCTGCCCACAATGCAACAAGTTACTAACATCAGATAACCATAAGAGACTTCTGGTTGCTGTGGGGCAGAACTGACTCCTTGATGGGGCTACAGCAAGGTCACCCAGGCAAAAGTTACAGCGCTTGACTAGAAAATTAATACATGCAAACCAGGAAATACAACTGCATGCATTAAAGCGGGCACAACACAAATCCCACAGGAATCCAAGGAAATCCTTCTGATGATTTTCAGGGATAATGGAGTGGGCTACATACTATCTTAGGTCAATTGCCAATAAGAATTTGGTGACAAGCTCCTCTAATTTGACAGGAAATGTGCATTTGTGGTTTTTTTTGGTGGTATTACTACTATCTCTTTCCATGTATAAAACTTACTGAACATGTCAAAGACTGTGAAAGAGCAGAGAGATTACATACATAATTTAAAACTGTTACATGACAGCTGAAATAAAACAAACGTAGACAGAAAAGGAAAATGGGGAAAATCATGTGAATAGGGAGGGAAATAAGAGCACAGCTTCATTATATCATGATTTCAATGGGCATTTAGCCTTCCCTGTTGAAATGGCTGCTGAACACTATCATTTTCACATGATATTTTACTTATTTGTGCGTTGGCTAAACTTTCTTCATGACTTTATACTGCTCAGTCCAGGACTACACAGTAATATATAGTTGTAAAGCCAGCAGCAACAACCACTACAAATGTATGAAAAACATTAATGATAAGCTAACGGTGTTGATGATAACAAACAATGAGAATGATGTTAACCTGGTCTATTGGAAGGTGTCCCTGTCTATGGCAGTGGGGTGGAACTAGATGATCTTTAAGGTCTCTTCCAACCCAAATCATTCTATGATTCTATGACTCAAAGTCTGGAAACTGACTCCAAATTCACCCTCATTGCTGCTGTAAGCTAGCACATGCACACTAACTTGCCTGCAGTACCAAGAAGCCATCCTGATCCGCTCACCCTGCTCTGGGAGGCACAGACCTCCTGCAAAAGGGCTGAATGAGAAGCTGATGATGGACTGTGTCCCTTCCATTCAACATGGAAAACATTCTTACCAAAGTCACGTGCCTCATTTGGCTGTTAGAAAGGAAGATCAGGCTCAGAAAATCTTTGGAGTAATTACACTAGCACCTGTCAATATTTTAAAATGTTAACATGAATAATCTAAATTTACCTTGCTACATGATCTTCCAGTGACATTACTAGGCTGGGAATGGTTCTGTGAATGAGAACAGCCACAAAAGTATTAGCAGAGGGGACAATCCATTTCTGATTGCTGTCCATTTAGTGATAAAAGACACAATGGCAAGATGCCTATATCTTGAGCCTAATAAAAAGATAACACATAAATAATTTCATTGACCCACTTTTGGTTGGGTCAATAATGGGTGTAGTTGGTCAATGCGTTTATGTACTACCAGATCTACTGCTAGGATCTGAAAACACTTTTATTTTAGCATTATCAATGAATTTCTAACAAATTAATGGATTAAAAAATTGTGTAACGAGCTCTTTGAGAGTGGAACTGAGTGATCAACGCTATTACATATAATGCTTTCCATTTTGGATAAATATTTAACTTAAATGTGTGGTGATTTAGTTCTAACAAAACTATTAGAAAACATAAATATGCAGTGTGCTTACATGAATACCATTTACTCAGTTTAATTAAATGAATATTTGTTCTTTTAAATCTGTATTCTCTACATGCAGTTATTTAAATGGCTTTGAATGCCTCAAAACTGGAAATAATTTTTGTAGAAGAATAGGTGTGAATTGGATAGCTATTAGAGAGATAAGAAAGGCAGTGACTTTCTACAGATTTGACCAGCGTACATACACCTAGTACAGTTAGGAAGAAGTTAATTGTTTTTTTTATAGTCACTTTAATCACAACACGAACTCTGATACCTTTGTAATGAAGCACCTAGCTGACAGGGTATATAAAAATGAATTTAAAACCCTGCTGAAAACCACTAGAGTCCCACAGTAGCCTGATGTATCTACACAGAGAACAGAAATTCCTGCAACATTTCTTTAACCATTTGCATTTGCTGACACAGTATTTGTCCATATACTTTTAACACAGTCACTGTGCTAAATTTGATTGCAGGAGAATCACTCAGAATCTTTTTTTCCACTGAAATAAGTAATAAAATAGGCCCACCAAAGGGAAATGTGGCATCTAGTAGACAAAAAATTTCTATTATATAATCTGAACAACTTCTGCAGTCTTGGGTGGAGTTTTCAAGGTATTTTTTGTTGGTGGTTTTTGGTCTTGGGTTTGGGTTTTTTTTGGCATGTGTGTGATTTGTTTGTTAAAAGGAAGTTTTGCATGTTCTTAAACAATGTAAAGTTTTGCCTCTCTTTTGGAAAGCAGTGAGGTTAGTTAGCCTGAGAAACCCCATCTGTTCATGGAGCACATGTCAGTGAGCAGGATGACCTCCAACTGCTCCCACCTTGAGTACAGAGCTGCACTCCACATTTCACATCTAGATCACCATTTCAAGATGAAACCATGAACAATAGGATGTGAGCTGCAGTAAAGGGAAAAACAGTCAAAATGTTCTCTTTTATGCAGTTTAAGAGCAGGCCTCGCTCTCCTGGCACGCTTAGCAGTATTCTCCTCATTTGGGCAAAGTCTGACTGTGCTTGTTTCTCAGAATTATAGCTTTCTATAATTGTACAGCTTTGAAGAATGAGCCTGGGTAGAATCAAGATATAATAAAACTGTGGCACAAATTTAAAAATCAATTAAGATGTAAGACTATGTTGGCAAACATACAAATGTCACAATGCTCACAACAAACAGCATGTTTGTCACCAGTAAAGAAATATTCTTTGAGCTGTTTAGAAAGGTAAAGCTAAATCCTGAAACTCAGTCACAGGACCTGTGCTATTCATAAAAGCCTAAAATAATACCATCCTTCTGCTCCTCAATAAAATCAGCACTGTACATAAAGGAATGTTTCTGTATTGCATAAGCATATTGCTGTGCTTGCAGGGTCGCTCCTCTGTCCTGCACAGTCAAATGACCTGTGAAGAGGCAGGAGCTCCTAAACTCTACCACCCTTTTATTTTTTTAATGGAAAGAATATATACCATTCTTCTGCCTAAACTTTAAGCCCTGTGATTTATCTCCTTATGGTTTGAATTGGAATTTTTTTGGAAATTTTTGGAGCATGCAAGGAGAATTTAAAAAATACATAGGGTTTAGTAATTATCTGAATCCGGCCGTCATTAATCTGCCATTGACAGCATAATAAACACTGTTCTCATTGCTTTAACTCATGCACTGGGAGCACAGTTTCTCTTACTCTTGCTGTAGCCCTGGAGCATCTCCAGGTGCCCCACATTCCATGGTTAAATGCAGCTTTGCTAATCCCAGGCCCAACAATGCTGGCTATGACAGAAAGAGAAATCTCTTTGCTATGTCATTGCAGGTGGATGTGTAAATAAATACATATTTTTGTTTATCTCTATAAATGTCTATTAAGTCTTCACAGAACTGTTTGTATATGTGCATATATAGATTAAAACTTATATACACACACACACATAAATAATTGCTTTGCACATTTATCTAATTTTTTTCATTTACCCTTTAAAAATGTCAAGAAAATATTCCTCATTTCCAGAAAATCCCGTTTTGACTTTTCCTAACAGAATTGCTAGCCCTTATATGTTCCATCCCAAGAGTTCGTTGCACAGTCCCCAAGTTCTCTTTGGTTGGATTGTAGTGGTCCTTGGTTAATGCCATGGCCTATGACTTCTGACCTCTTGGTAAAAATTCTGGCAACCATTGCTCTTCAAGTTCACTGCAAGTGGCACAACCAGATCTCCTTTGTTCTATGCCTCCTTCACAGCTGGCACAGAAGGAAGATAATGCAGTGTTTGATTTGTGTGAGTGGCAGACGCTTGACCTGCTCCAAGCCCAGGTTTTACAGTAAAGCTAGCAACTGAGGACATCGATGGACAGCTGGTGCCCAGTTTTGTTTGAATGTTTGCTCTCCCATAAGGGTACATTTTTCTCTCTAAGTTTAAAGATCGTGTTTGGGAATTATTTCCATCAGCCTTTCCCTCCAGAAAATAGGTCAACATTTCACCTTTTCCCTTTACACTGACTTTACCCCTGCACACAAATTCATAACTGCACCTTTTTAATATCCGCTGAACTTCTTCTGTCACCTGAAGACAGAAAGAAAAAAAACTATTACTTTTGTCTGTTCACGTAAGGTTAATCCTAAAACTGCCCACCCCTCTCCATTTTACTTCTCTGTCATGAAATATGAATAAGCAGAATGGATTAGCACCTATAGCTGTACAGCTGCTCTCAGGCTCACTTTTTTTTTAATTTAAAGAAGGGAAGATCACCGATCAAACTGGAATCTGAGAAGCAGAGCTGGTCTTGAGCTGAATAATTACACAGACAGTTTAAGCTCTGTCCAACAGAAATATATAACCAGATTGTAAGTGGGATCACTTCCAGTGATGTTGAATTACTCCAGAAGATCTTTCGATCCCTGGAGACTACACAGGTGTTTTGGAAGAGTTCACTGAGATTTTGAGAGGCACATCATAGCTTCTAGTCAAGCTTTAGCTGAACAATATTCCCTATCTGTGTTGCCTCTCCAATCCAAAACATCCAAGGAATTTTTAAAGTTACATGAAATGCAGTAAGATGCAAATAGACATAGATCCTTTCCTTGTAGGTCTTATTCAGGCAAAATGTCTACAGCACAAGGACTGGCCCATGCCGTGTTGACATTCTCAGGCTTGCCTCCAACTGTGTGCAATGAAGCAGAGAACTCTGTTTCTTCTGATGGGAAATGATTTATTTGAGGATTTCATTGTCTCCAAGGAGTGAAGCGTATAATGATGGAAAACAATTATACCTCTGATGCTTGAATCATCTGGAGAGTTTTGCCCTTTCCATAAGAACAAGATCAAGTGAGGCTGCATTTTCTAAGTGCTCTTGTAAATATCACTACTTATAAAACAGGAGGTATGTAAAGTTTGCAAAATTGTCTTAGAATGCACTTACCTGAATTTTTCCCTGCACTCCAGTACTATCCATCCGGCTGGCAACATTTACAGTGTTTCCCCAGATATCATACTGTGGTCTTCTGGCTCCAATGACTCCTGCCACTACTGGCCCAACATTAATACCTAAAATTAAACAATGAGTTTGGTTTCAAACACTACAGCATGTCATCCAAGGGAAACATGAATCCTGCAAAACAGATTTAACACAAATGCCTTAGAATTTTTCTGGACATAGGACATAATATATGTTAAATTAATGCCAACTGGACTTCTGTATTTGTAAAAGGTTAAGAAACAAAACAAACACATTCCTCAAGATATCTTATCGGGAATAAAACATGATAGACAAAATAAAAATTTGGTTCTTAAGTGGGTTTTGTTGGTTTAAGAAAAGGAAAAAAAGCAGTTTAGCTGCAGAGTTTAGCTGTAGACAGGGCAAATTTAAATATCTTCAACTGTTAGCTACGACTTCCAGAGCAGTTGCACATATAAAGCCTTATAATGGAGGTTTTCCAAGTGGAGCAAAAATAATGGCCTGGAATACTAAAGGATTGGGGTAAGGGAAGTGTGCCACATTGTCAGTACCAGCAAACTCTCATCAGGAAGTTCTGGAAGCAGATTTGGAAGAAGACAAAAGTATGTGAAAATGGCTCAATCATCTTTCTCTGGCAATCTGCAGAGCTTGGTTCTATATTTCTGACCAATTTTGGCACCTTGTTTGGAAGATAAAAGAGGTATTCCTTCTTCTGAGTGCCCTGAAGAGATGCAGGTGCTAAACACTGCATGAGATTCTGTGCAAGGGCTTTCCCAGACAAGTTATACAGAAGAATATGGGTTAGATATTTGACTCTTTATGAACCTGAAGAGACCAGTTATAACAGAGTTCAAAGAGAATTTGGGGTTTATAATTATTAGGATGTACAGGTCAGAGATGTATAACTCTCCTATTTCTGCCTTTGATGTCTTTGGTCTTTCTCAATATTCCACTGCTAGCAAACTCAGTTTTCCCCTTCTTCAGCCCATTCTCACAATTCAGCCACGAAAATACACAGAGAAAGAAGCTGGAGAAAAATATCTATATTGAAATATGCAATAAAATGAGAACAGCAGTGGAAGTACCATTCAAGAGGAACAAGATGCAGGGAAGGTGGTGAGAAAGGACTCTGCGTGGTAAGACATGTAATAACTTGTAAAGGATTGCATGGGAAGGGTTAGAGGATTTGATTTGCAGGAGAAAACGGGACTGGTTGAGGTGATTGGGCATCTGTGGAAAAAAGCTCCCTTTGCACTTTTAATGCCAACAAAGCTTTGGCAGATGCAACTTAATAGCTAAGTACAGTCAGACCCAGTTTTCAGCAGTTTAGCCATGCAAAGCAGTGGAGGCCACAAGACTGGGTACACTCATAATATTGTATAAAATTAGTGGTGCAGTTTCTTTTAGGGGTGCATAGAGTAAGTAGACACACTGGAATTGGACACAATTATAATTCTTTATTATTAATGCACATCATCCAGCCTGCTACATGGATATGAGTCTCTAACTAAAGGAGAATTTCCAGGTTTAATCATGAGTGCAGGGCATGTAATTCTTTGCAGGCAGCACAGGGAAAGTCAACAAAAAACAATGTTCTGCTTGTGTGATAAGTGTAAAAACGTGACTTACCAACTCGTAGGACAAAGTCGTTGTAAGACTGATAGTTGATTTCATCAAGAACGTCAAACATCTCTATTGCAAAATCTGCTAGTGTACTCAGATGGGAATAAATTGATTTTTTAGCCTAGAAACAAAATAGTATTGCACATTAGATTTGTATGGTACTGAGAGGCAGGTGAAATACCAAAGTGAAAACCAATGAAAAGCTCAGAATGGATGGCTTAGGAAAAGAATCTAACCCATGTTCCCATTTGTGAAAGGAAACATTTGATGGTAGCTACAGCACATGCATTCTTTTCTCAAGTGCTATTTTTTGTCTTCTCTTTCTCCTTTTGATTTCTGGGAAGAATGGAAAGAAAAGTTCCCGTGGTAATCTAATTCTGTTGCTAGAGAGCTGCAGATGTTTGTTGTGAGCGTGGCAGGGAATATAACCTGATCTCTTACAAAACTACTTTGCCTGATGATTATTAATAACTATGGTTTCTGCCCTCTTCTCCCTTTGGGGCTTTTGCTAGCTCCCAGCTCCATGGGGTGTATGCTGTTCCCATTGACAAAACTCCTCTTAGGTTTAATCCTGTGAGATGCAGAACACCCCTCTGTTCTTTCCTTTCCAGGCAAGTCAAAGTGAGTTCTTACAAAATGTATCTAAATGAACTAAAGCAAAAGAACCAGAAGGGATCAAAAGAGATGCTGAAGTATCAACTTGTAAATAAAACCTGAAACATAAGAAAATAATTTTTGCAACTTCAGTCTAATTAAACCATGGAAATAATTTTCAGAGGATATTGTGGATTCCAAAAGTTAGCAAGATCATATCAAAATTACTCAAACTCATGAAAGAAAGTTTTGCTACAAAGTAGTAAGATATCTGTAACTCTAGAATCTCCTAAGCAGCATATCATTAGAAATTAGAAAAGAGAGGTCTTCATGTTTATCCTATAACTCATGCCCTTCCCCCAGGATCTACCTTTGGTTAGTTAAAGGCAGGTTACTAGAATAAACCTTTGACTTGACTCATTATGATTGCTCTTTATGTTCTCCTCCTATTTGAACAAGAAATATGAATTTTTGAACAGATTTCCAAAGTGAAAGTGGGCTAAAGGTAGGATATGGTGAAAGAAATGCAGGGTCAGTGGCAGTCTAGCTTCAGTAGGGTGTTGCACAACAGCACTGTGGAAGCTGGCATGAGATGAAAGCTTGCTGAGTTTTTGCCATGATAGCGAGATTTTATAAATGCAGTGCTTGACAGTGGCTGACAAACCTGAGAAACAGGTTGCTATTTGCTTTATCCAGCTCAGTTTGAAAGGATTCCTTCATGTGGCTGGGAAATTTATAAAAAATAGAGTAAAGGGCTAACAAAAAACTACCAAAGTCATGCTTGGGCCAGTCCCAATTTTTGGGAAAGATATTTTTATTAACTGCCTCGATGTCTGGCATTATGTTTCTTGCAATGTCAACTAGCTAGCTCTACTCTTTTCCAGCTTCACCAAGACAAAGGAAGAATGAGAATTAAGTTTAAAGAGCTGAGGCCTGGAGTTCCAACAGAGAAGAAAAAAGATATTGAATGTCTGGAGGAGAGAGGGAGTAGTGCACAGTTTCGTCTGATTTCTAATCTTCTTTATATTCCTTATCCTTCCATTTCTTTGCTGGCTGATAAATGCTTTGTTTTCCTGCAATGCCCCTCAGGGTTGCAGGACAGAGGACTGGTGACAAATACTGAATGTGCTGCAGGTGACAGATGCTCCTCAATAGGATTCCTGGCAAACTCTTTTGAACCTTCACTGAGGAACACCACAAAGTTAGGATCCTGGTGAAGTCAGGATCCTGGTGAAATACACATGCAATGAATTTATATTGTGCAGAAGATCTACAAAGAGCTTGGCCTGTGTGCCGCTCTGATAGTGTAACTGGCAAGCAATTATTTATTTAAACATCAGAGGAATAGTTACTGGAAAGACCGCCCAGAGCATCACAGCAAAATCACTCTGATAGAGGCAATGTGCATTTACTGTAGTCACCTGTGGAAGTCAGGCTGCAGAAACAACAGTCCTGTAAAATACGGGATTTAAATATTTAACCACATTAGGGTACTGCGTTCTTATGTGTGTAAATACCCTCAGTTAAGAGCACAATTAACCCCATCTACTACTTTCTGCTCCTGTCCAAGTCTTAGTATGAAATTCGTGGCTCACAATCAGAGGCTGTGCTAGAGTTTCTGTTGAAGTTGGGACACTCCTGGCAGAGGGCAGACCAGAAGCACTTGTGCCTCTTATGGCTCCCCATGACCCTGTAGGGCAGCCCAGGGACTGTGTGATGGCTGGCAATGACTGTCTGTGCACAACAGGCTATCTGGGATTATCAGACTTCTAATACATAGCTGCATGCTGAAGACCTACTGGAAAACTGCCAAGAGGATGTGAATAATTTCTATTTGTTTGCATCACATGAGCAGTGGGGAGAGATCACAGAAGAGCTGTAAGCCCAAGTAAAAGTAAAAAAATATTGGCTGTTTCATACAAGATCTTTAGGTTTCCTGGAATATAGAATGTTAAATAAATTCTACCTGTACAGAAAAGATCAAAATTTGCCCCAAGATTTAAGAGAAAAGCAGAGTGCTGTAACAAGACCTTATGCAGTGATTTAAAAATCACTACTATCGTAAGCTCAGAGCTGTATCTTTAGTACTGGACTAACTCAGCTGACCCTTCGCTTAACAATTATAAAATCCAAGAGACAAACATGTTTAGGTTTTGGAGCATATGCTGCCAAAGTTACCCAATAACCCACTTGTTTTGAGGATTATAGTTCAAAGAGCATTTATGGCAGACACACAAGTATGTCGTTGCCTGTTTGCCTGAGATCACACGCTGAACAAAATTCAAAGGATCAATGTTTTTTACCTGTCTCAGGACATGAGTCAAACATTTCAGGATAAACAGACTTTTCAAAACACCTTTTTGTAATGTGTAGTTTTCTATGAAGGATACAAAGGAAAGCATCAGCTGCAAATACTCCGCAGAGCAGAAAATGAGTTGCATGTGATACGCTCCAACAAGATTCTAAAGGTTGATTTCAATGTGGTCTAGTTTTTTATTTACTTAGGAATAATTGTTGCTAGAAAGTTCAAGGGCACCTTCCAGCCTTTTTTTTTTTTTTTCTAATTTTGTGCTATTTTGCAGTGCTAAACCATATGCATGAGTGTACCTCTACAACATATGTAGTACATGCATATTAGAACAAAGGGAGAGGTGCCTGGAAACTCTGGGCAGCCGAGGTGAATGGATTGCTTTCATTTTCATTATATTCCTAATATCAATTTTATAACATTTTCATAAATTTGTTTTATTACTATAATTATTAATGTGAACATAGAATTTCTTGTGTTTCTGATGTTCCTCTGGAAGCTGAAGGAAAATGGTTCCTTCATGAAGGACTGTTGTGTAAAATCTTCTTACCTTAGTTCCTGAAGCAGGTACGAGTCCCACAGCTGCCATATATGTACTTCCAATTGTCTTGATCTTTTCTATGTCCTTATAATATTCTTTGTCCATAAGCTTTGTTTAAAACATAAAACTGTTAAATATTACATAATATTTTAGACAAGCAACCATAGTTATCAGATAATATGTGCAAGCTCTTTAAACCATATTATTTTGGGTAAGTTGAGGCTCTCCCACTTTGTGGTCATTGAAAAAACTGCAATTAACTTGTGATTTGATACTCTTCTTATATTAGAGGAATTTGAGGTCAGACTCATATGCCTGAAAGTACAAACTGGGCACTTTGCAGAAACCCAGTGGACACCAACCTCAATTAAATAGGAAGTTTACAATACTATTTTAATTAAGCAGTTCAAGATATGCTGAGTTGCTACAGATAATCACTGTTGATAGTAATTTGGCAGAACTGATATGGTTAAAAACAAAGTGTTTAGACCTTACCTCATCAAAATCAGCAATAATTTCATTTAACAGGCGTAAACATTCCACTCCCATATTATTGCCATCCAATTCGATGTAGAAATCATTGAAATTTGGGATGGAAGCAAACATCACTCCCACTTGTGAATATGACTGGTAATAAAGGTCCTGCAGTTCATGAGCAGATACAATTTTTATTTTAAAAGATTATCTAAACTAGGCGTCATTATTACAATACCTATTCTACTGCTACACAATAGCTCGGACCAAAGGCGTCATACTTGCTAGAGAGAAAGCCAGTCTTATTAAAAAATTGTTGAAAGATGTCTCCACTCAAAACCACAAAAGAAAATTAACACCTAAGGTATTAAACCCATTTAAAGCATCTTAGCCCTTTTTTTCTGTTTAGACACAGAAGCAGTGAGTAAAAATTTGGAGAACGTCTTAACAGTTGTAAACTAAACTATTGTATGAGAAAAATAATTACATTTTCTCAATTTTGTTTTATTAGCAAAATAGGGCATGGAACAATTTTACCCTGCAGCCTAAAACCAGTCTCATTCCTTGAAGTCTTTCCCTGAGTTGTGGTGTTCTACATAATATAATGCTGTTCTGTGTGGTAAGGTTTCTGCTCAAAGAAAACAAAACCATTCTTCTGTGGTTCAAATACATTGATCCAAACTCTCAAGAGTAGTATCATGGACATTACGGCTACTCCAGTGCTGCAGGTTTTCAGATGACCAGAAGGACTCTGGTAACAGCTTCCTGAACCAATTTATTTAATCACTTCAGCCCTTCATAGAATCATAGTATCAACCGGGTTGGGAGAGACCTCAAAGATCATTGACTCCAACCCTACTGTTGTCACTAGATCATGGCACCAAGTGCCACATCCAGTCTCATCTTGAAAACCTCAGGGATGGTGAATCCACCACCTCCCCAGGCAGCCCATTCCAATGTTGATGTTAAAAGCTGCTGTGTCTTCCTGGGGTGTGTACAATTCTCTGTTTTTAATGTTAAATGGATGGTTTTGGTAATGGTAGTATATTTCCAGAACTAGAGTAGTTAACATGGAATTGTCTGGCAGTTCATACACTTCATCATTCAGAACCAAACTGAGCTCATGTAATACTATGATAAATCCCAATATCCTAAATTGATTGAAAACAAACAAAAAAATGATCTACATGCAGACACTTAGCTGCATTGATGCTGTATGACAACATTCCCATATCCTGATTTTTGTTAAAATTCTTAAGAGGAGAAGGACGCTACAGCAAAAGGAATAATCTCAAACTAATTTCTGAACACAAGTTTTTGCAGAACTACTATTTTAGCATGAGCAAAATTTTACAAGTCCTAGCCTTTTTTGAAGACATACAGTTGAAAGGTGACCCGAGCAACACAGGAACACATCCATACAACATGTATTTAAATTTTATCTTGGTTTACCATATTTCTTGGATTAGACATAAGAAAGTGCTGTGCAACATGTGCTGGCAACAGGTTGAAGAGAATTCTTTTATTATCCAGCTTGACTCTTTCCATATCATCTCTCTCTTCTTCTGCCTGTGGGGACAGAGGAAAAGAAAAACCTTTCCAAAAAGCAAAAATTTAGCTGAACCTACTAAATAGTTTCTACTAATTCATCCTTTGTAATTAAACTAAGCAAAATAATTCCTGCAAAGTAGAGTACAAACAGTTCTCCTGTACCATGCTTCTACATCAGCCAAAATTCCTTTAAGTCCTTAGTAATTCAAGCTGAAGCCTCTGGGCTGCTTTCAGGGATTGATTAGCTAAGTGTATCGGTATCTGCTGCAGTTCTGTGTTCTTTTAAAAAGGCTCTTGATATTTTTACAAGGTAAGATGCTATAATAATCCCACTGAAATCGCATTGGTCTTGGAGGCCAATTACTTCCCAGGTGATCTGCCTTTCAAAAAAGAGAAACCTGGAGAATCAACAGTGTTTAAAGCAAACCTCTGCCATTTTGCAGTAAAATGCAAACAGACCTCTCAAGACAGTAACTTCAACAGAGAAAAGAATTTTAAAATTGAGTATCCGTAAGAGTGATATGCAATTTTTTTTTAAAAAATGAGCATTTCTAGACATGTTTTTAATTATACCGGTGTTTGTCATGAAAACATTTCTGTTGTTCCTTCACAACAGAAATTCTATCATTTGTGTGAGTGACAGCATTCAGAAAGAGTGCCTAAAAGTCAACACAGCTGAGGTCCCTAACCCAAGATACTGGTATGTTATTACAAGTGTCTTGATTCACAGGAGTTAGTGGGAGCCATACCTTAAGAAATAATTCTAAAAATCAGACCTTTACCGGAAAAATACTGAATATCTAGGAATCTCATTTGGGACTCCTAGGTTTGCAAATTCCATCTTTGTCCTTCAACAGACTCATCTGCAAAGTAGGAGAAAACCAGTCGTCCTTTGCCTTTGTACAGTCTAACAATATTATTTCTGTGTGATTTTTTTCTTTCAGGAAGATAAGTTTTACTTTCCATGACAAAACATAGGAAACAATCTTCCTATTCAAATTACACAGTCCATTTTGCCCTACAGTTTACTTCTGTATTTTTAAATTTCTTTACAAGCAGAAAGAATGCTGAAAGAGAACTGATTTTATAAACATAAATTCTTCAGGAATTTTTCCCTTTTGATATAAATTCTCAGCTCCTACTCAAGTTTGTGTAATAAGAGCTGGAATCTATTCCAGAGGTGAAATATCAGTAAACATTAAATGGTCATTCAGTTCTGCAAGATATATACCTGAAGCTTTTATTCTAAGCCAGTATCCATCTCCTCATTGTGACCTGTTTTCCTGACACTTCTTTTGCTGCTTAAATTTCATATGCTCTTTTCTTAAAATATCCTTCCCCTATTTTGGTGGCATAACTCTGTCTCTGAGTTATTGTTGTATATAAACATGCAAAATGGCCTCTGGCATTTAGTTTGACTCTTGGAATTTAAATGTTCTAATAGTAAAAATAAAAAGAATTTTCCAACTGAAAATCCAAACCAAACTTGCAAGTCCATTTTTACATCATACTGGAATATGAGAAACTTTACAAAGCAAAGGGATTTGCAAACTGATTTGATGGTCTGAATAAAAAAAGCATTTGGGCTTGCATATCCATTCCTTTATTTTTTGAACAAGAACATTTTTGTTACTTGCTTCCCAGGAATATTTAAGGTTCTCAGTTAAGCTACCAACACAATATGGGACAGAATAGAAGCCTAAAGAATAATAGCCCTTTGAGTCAGGGCATAGAGATTTATGGACCAGTCAAAGGAATCAAATAGGGGTAGGCAAGCGGAGTAATCATTTTAATGACTTGTATGGATAGTGATGCTGTTAAATCACCAGTAGCTGCTGTTCATTTCTGATCTGGAAATGTGTGATCAGACTCCTCTGCCTGGTCCAGTTGTGGACCAAAGTGTTCATTCTGGAAGACATGATCAAGAAGATTCTTCAGTACACCCACCATTGTGTACAAATCACAACAAAGGTTTCAGAACAATCCATTGCCATGACTGAGTGGAGAACTCAGCTCTTGAATGAAGAGGTTATGGTTCAAACCAAACCATGAGAGTTATGTCTGAAGGCATGGCAAAATCCTCTAAGAGCAGGGAAAGGCATCAAGGATGTCACCATCGTAGTTCCAATGGTAGAATGCTACATTTCCAACACACCTTTTTCCCCTCTTTTTATGTAAAACTACAATTTTGACTCTGGGAAGGCTCAGTTGGCAAAAACAAGATTGCAGGAAGAAGACTGGGGGTAAAATTAAAGATAACAGCAGGAGATTATAGGGGGAAATACAGTTGCTACTCCCTGGATGGAACATAGTCAGCATACCTGGCTTCCCACACACTACACAATCTAGGGGGGACTAAAGGGAGGGTGGAGTGGAGCAGAGTGGAGACGCTACAACCAGGCTAGCTTTTTTTAGGGATTAGAGCTTGTTAGTACATTGCTTTGAATACAGTTTTTGCAGTCAGATACTAGCACTGGCAACCCTCAAACCTTAACCTGTCACAATTTTATTAATAGACTGTTATTCTGTAAACTGTTAATGCAACTCCTTCAAGAGCACTAGCAGTTGCTGGCAGCAGGTAAAGGTATGAAGACCCAGAAGAGGGTCTTTCTGTTGGTTTGTGACCCTGAACAAGCAGTTGAACCACATTCCTATCTAGCAGACTGCTCAGTGAAGGGTCCCAATAGCAGAATGCTGACAGACTGGTCCAGCACAAGGGTCTCAGCTTTCTTGGGGCACTGACAGACTTACCAAACACTAAGGGTTTGAGAAAATCCCCCTTTTCACATGACAGAGATGAAAGCCACTAAAGTGATAGAAAGCCCTTGAATAATACCATGGTGGATAATGGTAGCAAACCCAAAATAGAGACAAATTATGCAAACAGCAGAACAAGGGGAGTATAGGTCAAGTGCTCTTAGCTTTTTGTCCCCAGCCTATTTCAGGTCAAGTACTTCCTAGCCAACATGGAGAGAGGAGAGCACTCTCTCTCTGTGGTTCTGGGAGACATTTGCACTGACAATGCCTATGTGGGGCAGTGCCCTGAAGACCCGTGTTAGCTCTGCCTGTCCTAGCCCTAAACCTAGAAGGAGAACATTCTTAGAATTAGCATAGCACTCCTTCTAAGTTACTTTCTCATGTTGAGGAGCAAAGGTATATTATCTGAGACCACACACTGTGTCAATACTGCTGTATTGTTGCTGGTACCCTAAATGATGTCTCTGCATGGACTTCACTTACACCATCCACACATACCAAATGCCCAACATCCTGCTTTAATAATATATTAAAGTGCTCCACTGGGAATACGAACTGAAGTGTACCTTCTCTGCTACTACTGCATAGAGTTTGAGTATCGATTCTGTCTCCCTGCACTGCCTAAGTCAGCCCTCATATATACAATTCCTCAGGAGCTGCTTGGGGAAAGGAAAAATCTCCTTGCATCTCTTGCAAGGGAAGATAAGCAAGGAAGGTGAGGCAATGAACTTGGTTATGTTCAGCAGTGAGGACTAAAACTATCCCATCACACAGCTACATGGGAGGGAAGTAAACTAAGTACCGGTATTTTCTGAACCTTTTTCCAGCTTCCTGCTTTCTGCCCTTCAGGAAATGCAATCAAAACTGTCCTTTCTCCTTGTGATTCATGAACTCCTAGTGGCTACTCTTTGAGCAGCTTGAGAATAAAAGATGTGCAGACCTCATCCTTTCCCAGGCAAAACAGACATTGAGAAGGGAGAAGGAGTACTTGGGCCTGAAGAAAGATTAAAATACCACAGAACACAGGTATTTACACTCCTGGTGGAAATATTGTCCTAAGACCTAAATGGCATCTAAACCTTCATCTGGTTGCCTCTATGTCCATTGGTTCCTAAAGCTGCCAGCATGGTACTTATGCAATAGCTGTTGGCTCAAAATCAAGACAGATTATTGTGAAAATAAGCAAGAAAGAAAATATATAGGCATGACTAACATATTTTTTCACATTCTGCTCTTTGCTTATACCTGTTTGGTATTCATAGCAGCCAGGTCATTTTGCAGAACTTTATTGCATATGCAGAGCTGCAGTATTTGAAGTCAGGCTTTGCTTTTGCTCTGGACATGGTGACAAAATTTAATATGTTTTTTGGAACTATGACTTTTTACACCAATCTAATTAACAGCTACTGCATTTTATACAGTTACACAGATTCCCACAGTTTTTACTGATAAAATGCTAATCACTGCTTACACATTCTCTGTTTGAGAAGGGATCTGAGCAGTTGTATCAACTAACGGTCTAATAAGCCTAAAAATGCTGTAGCAATGTCACAGACTGAAGAGTTATCAGATGAAAATACACCGTTTCAAGATTCAGTTAAAACGAAGCCAGGCACTGGTGTCCCAGAAACATGATTTTTGTACCTGAAGGTGGCACTAAAGCCACAGGGAAGAGACCCACAACACTACTGTAGGGCCAGGTTTTTGACAAGAAGCGCTAAGCACACCTGGCAAGTCTTGCCAGCAAGCTGTAAAATTCATATTTCTTACAAGCACGACAGACAAAAAAAGACAGTGGAATGTTACTCTAGTATTCCCTAAAGAATGCATCAATCAGTCATATGATTGCATTATTCTTATTTTCCTCCCCCTGACAAATCCAGGGTGAGCGAGTGGCTCCATTATTTGGCAGTTTTAGCATCTTCATAAATGTATTGCTTGTATTTATTTGTCCATTCGGGTTTTTTTCTTCCAGTTCTGTTAAATAATTTGCATAATAAAAAGTGATTATCAGTCAAAAATAAGTAAAATGCTTCTATATTTGCTATTCATAGTTATTGTATACGAGCACACAGAGTTACTCAGCAATGTTAAGCTGAAAATTAATTTCTCCTCCCACTTCATGTTAAAAAATCTACAAAACAAAGAACAGATGCTTTCTGAAAATACTGTGATATTCAGAAAGGTTAAATTTGGCACTCTACAAAACAAAGAACAGACGCTTTCTGAAAAATACTATGATATTCAGAAAGGTTAAATTTGGCACAGAAAAAAATCCTTGCAGAATAAACAAGAACCTATAATACCACTGATGTGTGAACAGTAAGAACAAATATAAATACTTTAACAGCTTATCATAAATCAGAAAAACTTATTTTTTCACAAGATGTACATAAACCATACTGTATTATCTCTGTTCCAGTTGTGCAACCCAGATGCATGAAAATTAAATTAACTTATCTTGAAACTGTATCTTTTTTCTTAATAAGTTTCTCTTGATTGAAATTTTTCTTCTTCAAAACACTTTTCTTTTCTTGATGTGGCAGACAAAATCTAAGGCTATGTGTTTTCCTCAGACCTCAGCATAGACCACTGGGCATCTATCTATATATTCTTACTAATAATAGTATTAAATTGCAGGACAGTTTCAGTGTTTAAAATATAATTTAGTTAGTACTAGACTGTTTGTTGTTCATGATGAAGTAAAAGAAAATATCTATGAAATCCCTTTTATTGCAGCTTATGTCACAAATTTTTATTCATCTGAGAACATTTTTACAGGATTAGCTCCAAAATGAACCTTACTAAAGTATGCAAACAAAATGCTTACAGCTACCAAAATAGCCCTTGAGTCTGAAATTCTCCCAGTTGTAAGCCAAAAACTGAAAAGCCTCCTAAAATGAAATGCTGAACCATGCTGGCACATCTTCACACAGCAGCAGCTGGCTACTGGGAGATGTGAATCTGGCTTTAGCAGTGGTTCATGCAATTCAGTGTTTGCACAAAGAACCAGCACATCACTCTGTAAAACGGAAGAAAATCTCCACAGGCCCTGTGCACTAAGTCAATGGTCTTTCTAAAATGTCTGTTACCAAAAATATAACCAACTTAAGCCAACACAGTTCAATGGGAAGTAGTACTACAGCTGTAGATAAACATGACCAAGACTGCTTTCAACCATTGTGCAGGGTTTGGCTGCTAGTAGCCAGTAGCTAGTATAGGACTGTTTTAGATTTGTGCTGAAAACAGTGATGATAAGAGACATTTTTGTAATTGCTGAGCAGTGCTTACACAGTCAAGGACTTTTCTGCTTTTTGTACTGCCACAATGACAAGGAAGTTGGGGATGCATGGGAGACTGGGAGAAGACACAGCTGGGACAGGTGACCCAAACTGACCAAAGGGATATTCCATACCATATGACATCATGCTCAGTATATAAAGTGGGAGGAAGAAGGAGGAAGGGGGGACATCTGGAGTGATGGTGTTTGTCTTCCCAAGAAACCATTACGTGTGATGGGCCCTGCTCTCCTAGAGGTGGCTAAACACCTGCTTGCCCGTGGGAAGCAGTGAATTAATCCCTTGTTTTGCTTTGATGTGTGTGTGGCTTTTGGTTTCCCTATCAAACTGTGTTTCACTCAACCCAGAAGTGTCCTAGCTTTTACCCTTTGAATTCTCTCCCTGTTTCTGCCGGTCAGGGACTGAGTGAGTGGCTGTGAGGGAGGGACTTGGTTGCTGGCTGGGGTTAAACCACCACAACCATAAACAGGGTTCCTGCAGTCCAGCAGCTTAGAGAAAACTTATCACTCAAGCATGCAGCTTTTACCCTTGTCTCCTTTTAACGGTCCCTTGTTTTGATGTGTGTGTGGCTTTTGGTTTCCCTATCAAACTGTGTTTCACTCAACCCAGAAGTGTCCTAGCTTTTACCCTTTGAATTCTCTCCCTGTTTCTGCCGGTCAGGGACTGAGTGAGTGGCTGTGAGGGAGGGACTTGGTTGCTGGCTGGGGTTAAACCACCACAACCATAAACAGGGTTCCTGCAGTCCAGCAGCTTAGAGATGTGTGTGTGGCTTTTGGTTTCCCTATCAAACTGTGTTTCACTCAACCCAGAAGTGTCCTAGCTTTTACCCTTTGAATTCTCTCCCTGTTTCTGCCGGTCAGGGACTGAGTGAGTGGCTGTGAGGGAGGGACTTGGTTGCTGGCTGGGGTTAAACCACCACAACCATAAACAGGGTTCCTGCAGTCCAGCAGCTTAGAGAAAACTTATCACTCAAGCATGCAGCTTTTACCCTTGTCTCCTTTTAACGGCTGTTAAGCAATTAGTAGCCTGGAGTTTGCTAACTATTCAAAAGCAGTTTTAGCATAGATATTTCCAATCAACAGTGTTCTCAGAGCCTTTAATACTCGCATTTTTATTGTGCCAAAGAACCTAGTAAGTACAAAGACATGGGTTTTGTTTTTTTTCACTTATCTGTTTGAGTAAGTAAGAACCATGAGCACTTCTGTAACATCCATCATGGCCCATACTTCTGCATATTATGTTAATTAGCCCTTGGATTCAATATAATTTATAACCAATACACAGAGTGGAAACCAGAACAACATTTCTTACAACATGTTATCCACTATTACTTATGGTACAGGGAATAGATCTTCCACGTGGAATTGACAAAATGAAAGGTGTATGCCCAGATCATTCTAAGGAACCTATCCAGCATAATAATTCCAAAGAATGATAATTATGCAGATCCCTAAATTCTGGATTTTCTACTTAAATTGATCTTTTCCTTTCTGATTATTATCACGCAAATCCCACAGACAAGATGGTAGCATGTAAGTACCTGATTTGCAATTGAACAGATCTGAAAATGGCACTTGATGTTTTCAGATGAAAAGCACTTTCTGAAATGATACCTGAAAATGCTGTTGGACACTACTGAAATTTGATGCCTTATCTCCCCTTATCGTCCCTTGGTGAAAGTGCACAATGTTTTAACAGTAGTGGTAGATGACTAAGTATTTCTATAAAACCTGTCCTCAAGAAAACAGAAGTTTGTATTTCTTTCTCTACTCTTGTCCAGTTCTGGTCTTCCATTAGGTGAGCATCCCATAAGTTTCCACCACTTAAATTTTTAAAGTTAATTGATTGCTAATTAAAAGCTAAGTTAAAACTAAGAAGCAGTATCTCCATTAGCGATGCACAGTTCGCCATGCGAGTCACAACAACTGGAATGACAAAAAGCACTCAAGATGCTGGTTTGGGTTTACAGTCGAGTTTGGGTCAATAGTTGAGATTGGGTCAATGATTGAATTTTGGTCAATGGTAGAGTTTGGCAGAATTGCATTCATGGATCATATGGCACTCACATACCTCCATCATGTGCCAACCTATACAGAGATAGTGACTATACAGCTAGACATGTGCTGCACTTAATTTCAGAATCAGATGACCTTTTTTTCTATCTGGAAACTGTATTTGGCACCACAGCAAACAAAAACTAGTATCAGTTTGCCCAAAACAAACTTCTGAGGCTGACAGGCACAGCACTTATCAATGCTGCAGGTCATAGGACAAAAATTAATTTAAGTGATCACAAATTGTTGACTCAGTACAGAGTCCATGGAAATTATAACAAGATAATCTTTAATCATAAAGGAAGTGGACATTGTTTTGGACATCAAGACAAACAAAAAATCCCAACAAAGCTTAACTGTTAAGTAGAAAACCTTTAAAAGCAGAAGATAATAGAGCTAAGTCATTCCTGATTTCTCCACCTCAGGTAACACAGTGGAGCCAGGGATGTGTTTAACTAACCCACGTGTTCCAGTCTTGATGTTATGCATAAAAGCAAGAACTGTGACAATTTATACAGTCATCTTGACAACATATTTAACAGGGTGTAGGTGAGAACAGAATGTGACCTCTGGGAACTACAAGAGTGTAAGAATGTAAGATTTACCATAAGGGCAAATTTCACCAAAACAAACTTATGTCTTCAAATTTCTCCTTCCCTCAGGGGTTAGTATGAAACACTTTGGAGGTGGGAATTGGACTGCTGAGAGGTGTGACAGAAGGCAAACATTTCCTGATGCCTGTGCTTATGGTTAATGTAATTTCTGTAGGTCTTCCTGTGATTATCATAGTTAGGAGATGTATTTTCAAAAAAGGTCCATGCATTCAGTATCTAAATAAATTTCTGATCTTTCTTTGGGAAAGATTTCATTGCATTTTCTTTTATCAGGTTTATTTGCTTCTTTTCAGTTTACCTGAGCATTAAATTATTTTCACCCCTTTCTGTAATACAAGATAAAAAACCCCTATTGATTTAATTTCTTTATCTCAAGTTTATATTGCTAACAGTCTATACCAAATGCACCTAAGATAAAATACATATTACTTGATTAATGTTATACTGGAAAAACTGCAAAACCACAAAATAATAGCTTGTCCAGGAAAAATGAATTTTATAGGTCTTTGGAAAGAAAACTCTGAAATAACTTTTCTCTATGAACCCCAACAGACATGAAAAATTTTGAAAGTGTCTTAGTCCAACTAACTTGTCCTGAAACTATTTGCAAGCCATTTCAAAAAGTCTGACATCATTTTGTGTGCATGACTACTATAAAGAAAAGTCTTGTGACTTACCTGCACAGCCCAGAGGTAGTCCAGACGCAGTTTCAAGTCCACCTGTCTGGAATGCAGTGCCAAAGCACAAGAAAATAGCAAAATAGCTAGTATTGGTTCATAGCCACGCATATAAAATGAGCCACCCCTTAAAAATAAGAAAGTAAATGGGTTATTCCAGGTCTTCTTATATCTATCATCACATATTTTTAATATCAGTTTTTTAGTTTAGAACATGTGGGCACACCCTAATCACTAGCCTTTTCTGAAGAGGCTCATCTGGTCAAGGAGATGGGTGATAATCACTGCATCACACCAACACGCAACTGCTTGAGGATTTTATAATGCTATGCATGAATGTAATGTGTGTGCATGTTTTTAATGAGGAAATATGAAACCATTCAAAAGCTCAAAAGCTTAAATGAAATTGGGAGTTGTTTGAGGGCTGCTGAAAGATGGAAGTGAAGTTTTTAACTGTGTTTTTCTATTTCATATTATAGCTAGACTGCAGTGTGTTCAACTGAGGTATATTAGCCTAAAACTAGAGAATAATGGGGCAACAGTTACTAGCTCCCAAAAGCTGATCTCCTATTGATGGATGTTACTAGATCCTAAAAGTGCTGGAGAGAGGATGGATTAAGTATTTCTTATGCTCTACTGAGTCTACAGCCTTAAGCAGCACTGAACACTAGAGGACAATTCACAGATAAGTAGTCAATGTTGTGACTATCTATAAAGAATTACCCACTGTTTTAACTTTGCAAGACACCTACCCCACTGCTTTTCTGTAACCACTGAGTTCCAGAATAACTATGTACAAGATTGTAACAAAAAGCAGGAGAATCATTTTTGGCAAGGAAGATACACGTAGAAATATTGCCAAGGTGAGAGTCCCCACTACACAGGAAAGGAAAGCATAGTGGGCTGTGTCACATGGAAGTTCACTCATTGTTTTATTTTTTCCACCAGGAGAAATGATAACTATTGAGCTGCTGGAATTGGTATTCCAAACCCAAGGCATGCAGCCAACCTAGAAAAGACAAGAGAGGTGAGAAGGGGAGAAAGTTAAATACAAAATAAAGAGGAAGGCAATTATTGTGTAGGCTGACTGTAGTTCATTTCTAACTGTGAAAATATGGCTGTGGAGACCCCACCCAGCTAAATGCTCTATTAAAATCTCCTTTTCCTGCAATGCTTCACTCAGTTTTAGGGGAGAGACAGTCTCTGTGCATTAGATGCCAGCAAGGGCAAACAACTGAAGTGCATGCTTAGTTGAATAGTTTTCCTCTCAGTGCTCAAGAGATTCTCAAGCCAGCATATTCCTGCAAAATTAAGGAACTTCAGTTAACATTTTATGTGGTCATGCATGTGAAAAAGGTTCTTGCACAGAAATAAACGTGTTTGTTTTATTGACTACATAAATCCTAGCAATTTCAATTCCTTAAATACAAAATAAAACATATTTTAATCATTGACTGAAAAGCTAAACATGAATAATGTATTTTTTCCACCTCAGAGCTACTTCGGCTGTCACATATGATTCAAATACAGGGACTCATCTTTAATTATCCCTGTCATTTCAGTTATCCAAGGAGTTTCCTCCCTAGACTGGGAAATAAAAAATGTTTTAGTGCATTTCTTATGGGAAACTTCAGGAAACTTAACCTGCTTTTTCTAAAGGCAATGTCATGTGCACATCTTGGAAATGGAATTTCTCGCAAATAGTGCAAGTCTCTAGAGCTGCAGTTTTAACTGCAATCCAACCTTCACCCCTTATGAAGAAAATAGATAAGAGTTAGTATAAGCAGGGAGAGTGGGATGGTAGTGTGAAATTGATTTTAACAGGCACCACCACATAAGCCCTGCCCTACACTTGTGTCTCTTTTGAAGTGTATTATTAGGCCTTTCTATTTCATCCTAACCACTGATAATGAAATTTATTGCATGCTGTAAAATAACTGACAACCTGAAAGGTGATTAAGCCATATATTTTACAGAGAGTTGTAGTCTTTTAAAAAGATGAGACAGAATAAATATAATATGAGTTAAACTTATAATGGCTAACATTATGAAATGAGATAGAAAGAGTGAAGTAAAAAATCCGTTCAATATCCTTAAGAATGCTCTTCATACTCATACTTCATACTCCATACTCAAACTCATCCAAAACCAGATACATGCATGAGGGCTTCATCAATGATCCACAATCCATCCAGAAAAACACCATCTGCTTTACAGCTGAGAGTGAAACCTCAACACCTAGCTCCACTGCTGGTTGAAAATTCTAGTGGCATTATAATTTCGAGTGATTAAACATTTTTTCCTTAGGTTACAGGTTAATTTTGTTCAGGCAAGGATTCAAAATTTTAACTGAAGGATCACTACCTTGCTGGAGGTCACAGCTTCTGAGTTCTGATCTGTCATCTTCCACTGCTGTTCAACATTGCCTATGGCCTTATGATGCCTGTTTCTCATTTTCACTATCTTTAAGTGGCAATGATGGTGCTTGTCTCATTTGGTCAAAGTAAGCATCAGATCTATGGAGGCTGATTCACAAAGGTTTCAGCCATTGTAACATTAATCTTAATCCTAAAGTCAGATACAGAAAACTTGCTGAGATGCTAGCTAGCCTGCAGGCACTGCACAGCTCGATGCATTTTGGGCTTATATCCCCATTAAGAACCACATATGTGCTGTGTGCTATTAGGGCTGTGTGTTACTCACACAGTTGATGTTCAAGAATTCCCAGAAATGTCTCAAGATCGGTAATTCTTGGTTTCTCTCAGGGCATTGGAATTTAGAGAAACATTGAGCAAGTTCACTTCTAGTCATGAGAAGCTTTCTAGACATTAGATGTGAATGGATCGTCCAAGGAGCACAGCATAAGCATCTCTTCTCATAACACAATACTGTCCCTATTTTAAGATCTCTTTAACCTTTCTGATCTGCCTGGACTAAAAATATCACCCTGTTATTACACAGAAATATGTTCTATAAGTTGCCACATAGAAACAGTAATCTTGTTTGACATCATGCATTGCCTGTCACAAAATATTAGCTATTGAACTAGTAAGCTAATTGAACATTTAAAAATAGTTTCCCCATAAAGTACATGACATCAGCAGACTATGTTATGCTAAGGTTTGACATAAAAATTTAACAGGTGTTGACTAGGTATTACTTGTGTAATTTCTGAAAACAATGCTGATCCTAATTCAACACCCTGTCTCAGGGTAGTTAAAGTTCAAATTACAGCAAAGGGGTTTAATTTTGAAGAAGCATGCTCTGCAAGTACAAATAATAAAAAGGAGTAAGAATTCACCAGATGAGAATATGGAATGTGTTAAATGTATCTGTACCAGGCTGTTCTTGAAACAGAATGCTAAATTAAGTGATAAATGCTGAATTAAGTGATATTTAAATACTCACCACACATCCTTGAGCCACGGAGTATATTAAGATCACAATAAAAATACACAAAATGGTACGAATTTGTATTGTCAGGCACCCTGGAAAACACTAAGGAAGAAAAAACATTATAGATAAATATTCAAAAATATTTTTAGAGTGGGGTTGTTATTTTTTAGTAGTCTATAAAGAGAAACAAATAAGGGATACAGAAATTTTGCCTGCACCACAAATTATGAAGCTTCAGTTATTGTTGTGTAATAACTGTTATGCAGTTATTATTGTGTAGATGTGTTTTCATGGTAATTGCAGTTTTGGGGATAATAAATTCAAAGTTATTATTACTATACATTATTTCTCACTATAATTAAAACTCTTGGAAAGTTTAGCAGTATGTCTGCTCATAATACAAATAATAAATTAGGATGGCATTTGATTTTGTTCTAATGGGGAAAATACCCAAAGCATCTTCTGCTTTGCAAATTATCAGCTCCAAATTGTGATCCAAGAGAACATACTGTGATAGCATAGAATTTGTAAGTGATATTTGTGTCTTCTGCTATAATAGTCATGTTAAATGCCAGGGCAGTTTTAGTTGTCAGGACTCATTTAAAATATTGCATTTGGCAGGAAGAGTAGTAGAGAACAAAAATGTCTGGTGAAATGAAGTCTTGTGAACCTCTTGCTTATCTCCATTTTTACCTTGATTTCATCTATTATGCTATTAAGTGTGAAGTTCTTGCTGCTATGATGCCCATGACAGAATGTGAGAGAGGAAGGGCAAGTCTGTGAGGCTTTGTACTTAGGCTTGTTCCAGTCATACTGATCTACTCTGCTTTCAGGTAAAGCAGCTTTCCTTCCTTTCCCCTTGCACTAAGAGTGTTTGGAGCATCTATTATCTACTGGATCCACAATATATCTTTCAGACCACAGGGCTTCTTCCAGTGACTTCAAGGGTCAAGAATCAGCTGCAAGAAACAATCAGATTAAAGTGGGGATGATCCTGTGTCCTTTAATAGGACGGGGCTCAGATTTATCAAGGTTTAATTTGACTTAAGGTCAAATGGAACAAGCAAACGCATGATTTGGGGGTGAAAATCACCAGTCCTGAAGAAAAGCTGTTCACTTCATGGATATCACCAGCACCAAAAGCACATCTTCCAGCAGGCAGCAAAGTACCTATAGAGAGGGGCTATTGTGGCCTTGGCCCAACAGAAATCATATATTGAAATGCCTCTCTGAACTTTCACATATGCAGAGACATTTCCTCTGTAGTGTGACCACAAATTAAAAGTTTGAGGTAGTTATAGGTGAATCAGCTTCACCTGGGCTGTGACACATGAGAATACAGCAACTGTAGAAAAAAAAAATACTGTCTGCAAATACATTCTGGCTTCAGTACGGGTTAAGTCCATGTAATGTAGGTGTGGAACAACCAACACAATGTCAATAGTAGATCTGTATTATGGACCCGAGTTAATTAGATACTACCAGAAACTAGTTTAAGTATTAGTCAGCATCAATAAAACATATTGGGATACCTGAGGTATAACACCTTTAATAAAACATTGACCATACTGTAGAACAAATACCTCAAACTGTAAGAATCTGAGATTGAAAAGCTGTGTCTCAAGGGAGAAGATACAGCAGTGTCCAAAATTACACTTTCAAAAAAGACTATTTCTGCATTTATTCATCACTACCATACAGTTCAGGTTGGAAGGGACCTAAAGGACTCCAAAAGTACTGTCTTCCTCGACCCCCAGAGTCCCAGGGCCATTTTTGCAGAGCAGGTCACTCCCCAGCCTATGTCATTTCAGGGGGTTCTTTCTTCTCAGGGCCTGGACTTTGCATGCTGTATTTCATAAGTTTTCTGTTGGCCAATTCTGTCAACCTATCTAGGACCCTCTCAATGGTCATCTTGTCAGCTGTTCCCCTGAAAATGGAGTCACCTGAAAACTTGACAGGAGTATACTCCATGTCCTTCTCCAGGCTGTTGATAAAAATGTTTAACAGGACAGGATCCAGGATAAGCTCCTGTGGTACCCCACTTATTACTGGTTTCCAGGTAGAGTACAACCATAAACTGCTGTGATCTAATGTGATCATCCAGATGGTATTTTACTACAGTAGTTGCCCATCCAAATAGACCATAGTCCTATACACACATGGGGTGCAACATGTATGGTTTTTTCTATATAAATAAAGAACAAAATAATTTTGTTTGGAGGAAATACATATCCCATTAATTCAGTTTGCAACCAAAAAAGTTAACTACAGCATGTTAAAGAGAGAATACCCATAGTCTGAAGATAACAGTGAATGGTTAACAGAGACAAAGCAAAATGCAGATTCAAAGACAATGTGTCCTGACACATTGCACAGACAGGTGTTTTTGGTCTGTGTAATATATATGTTCTAAGTGTTGACACGCTAGGCTATTGGGTTAAAAAGGAAAAGCAACCTTTAAAAGATAAAGTGTGGGACATGTCTGAAATAAAACTGACACTAAAGATTTATACTTCTGATTTTGGTCATTCTTAGATTGCATCTGCTCTTTTATGATAGTATAGCATTTTGGGCTTCATTTTCTTTATTTTCTTTTACTTGTAGAATTTTTATTAACTAAATAAGTACTGTGAGGTCCCCAAAATGCTAGATAACTGGTACAGAGAAACATTATCATAGTGGTTTTATGAGTGAGGCATTTAACGTTAAAGCATGCAGAAGTTGAATCACTTGTTCAGAGTAAAAGAGCAAATAAGTGCCAGAAGACTGATTAGAATAAGGGAATGATTGGTTTACAATGCTCTATCCATTATACATAGCATATTCATTATATTTCATTTATGACATGACAAATATTTGCAATAAAATTTTAAATTGTGATATTTATATTTCTTTAGTTATATAATGTGGTGTTGAATCCCTAAAGGAATGTAGAATAAATACAGGTTTTGCTGACTGACAAAACAGATGGAACAAACCTTAAGTTTGCACTAGCCCCAGGAAAATGGTATAAAGAGCAGTAACTTCCTACAAACTTTATCCATGTTTCTACCATCTAAAGAAAGAACAACAGATGATAAACTACTTTGCCTTAACAAAACAAAAGAGATCATCAAAATTACTCCAAATTAATTTTGTAAGTTTATAAGTAAGGATCTGCTCTGTACCTGATAGTCTGCTAATATTCTATTTATGTTTCCATGAAAACAATTGCTTTTCTTCTACCAAAGGGCATTTAAAAACGAAAATTAGCTGATTAACTGTGTAGGTGTTCCACTACAGATTTCTTTTCTTCTAGGGCATTTTTAAAAACTAAAATTAGCTGATTAACTGTGTAGGTGTCTTCTTCTGATATTTGTCTGAAAAAGACTAAATTTAGATTAATCCACTACAGATTTCTTTCATCAGAAAATTAGCCTGTAGATGCTTTATTCTGATCTAGCAGACCTAGTTCTTTCCTAAAACAACCAAATGTCCTTCTGCATCATTACTGTTGTGAGAATATTTAAAAACTAAAATTAGCTGATTAACTGTGTAGGTGTCTTCTTCTGATATTTGTCTGAAAAAGACTAAATTTAGATTAATCCACTACAGATTTCTTTCATCAGAAAATTAGCCTGTAGATGCTTTATTCTGATCTAGCAGACCTAGTTCTTTCCTAAAACAACCAAATGTCCTTCTGCATCATTACTGTTGTGAGAATATAATGCAGGAGAATTAATCATTACTAAAGGTTTTGAAAAGGCCAAGGATTGTGTGTGCAAAACACTGTGCTTTATCATTAAAACAGCTGCTGCTTTGGCAGGAAAAATTCTGAAAACAGAGGAAACTTAGCAGGACTTTACACCCAGATACCAGCTGGAATGGAAGGGAGAACTAGTGTGCTATGGAGTAAAAATCAGGTTAAAGCAGTTGTTTATCTGACCACTGGAATGATTCAGTAGTTAACGGTTAAAGCAGCTGTTTAACTGACCACTGGAATGATTCAGTAGTTAATAGTACTGGGAGATTTAGCAAAAAAGACAGAAAGCATAGAATTAATGCCACTGAAGGCTAGCTACCCTGCTGTAACTATTGCTCATATATGAAAAAACCTACTTTCAGCTGATCCATCTTTGTTTTTGAAGTGCCTAATAGATGACTTAGCAATGGACTTGAAAAGCACATAGATTTCAGACACTATGAATCTGTGAAGTAAACATGGATGGCTTCATATTCCAAAGAACAAACATAGCATGGCCACCAAAAAGGAAGAATAGGCATAAAACCTTATATCACTTACTTGTACTCGTGTGACATGTAGATACATAATACAAGCCACTAGGAAGCATATGCAGAACACCAGGAGAACAAGAACTATGGTACTCCTAGAATCAAAACACATTAGAAGTCATGCAACGCAACTCAGTAGCAGATGAGAACAAAATGATGTTTGGGGTCCTTCTGAAATGGCATTTTAAATGAATGGTGGAGGATCTCCCCCTCATCCTTGCTGTAATACTAACCATCACAGGAAATTTAACAGTGAAGTGCACTGCTCCTAAGACTCTTAGTAAATGCTCTTGTATATGGTCTCCACTCTGACCTCAGCAAAGCACCTCAAAAATTCAATCGTATGATGTGGCAGGAGAGACACTTTCTAATTGTAGGTTAATGCAGAATATTCAGCATGATGACTCTTATAAGTGGAGTGTGTAACTCAATTACTTGGCCTTGGCAGCTGTGTAAGTTATCAGATGCTTTTTCCTTCTAATCTCTCTTTCTCAAAGATTCAGAAATCAGAGGTCATTCAACTCAGTCACTTATCAAGTCAAATAAGACCAGACTACCTTCTAATGAAACAGACCAACTTCCTCCTTTTTAGTCTTCCTCAATGGTCAGACAAATCCTAGGTTTCACAAAGATGCTGTAATAATTTTCTTAATTCTAAATCTTCCCTCTCCCAATCTGTCAAAATAGGCTTTGTTCTTCATGAGAAGAGGGGTGAAAAACAGGCACTTTCCTCCTCCAGGTGTTACTGGAAAAGTACCTTATGGATGTGAGCAAGCTGACAAAAATTAGTCCACCAGTGCTGGTGCATTTGATTTGTGCTCAAGGACAGCCTGGCCCCATGCTGGCCATGGAACCAGGGTATGACATCCATTTAACATGATCTCCATACCTTCTTTTATAACTTGTGAGAACAAACCTGCTAGTCCAGAAGATGTGAGCCATGGCTGTAGGCATATATGTATCTGTGCCCTTGATGATTACTGAAGAAAGATTGGTTATACAGGGTTTCTAACAGCAGAAGAGTGCAATGCTCCTGTAGGATTTCTAACTATTTGATTTCAAATTCATGTAACAATTCCTATTGATACAGGAACAGGGAAAATTCTGTGGTGTAGTACGTGTACCCAAAATGGGGAGGTGACTCTAGGTGCTGTCAGTGTGGATTCTGAATATAAGTATTAATAGACTTCAGGCTCTTGTGCTTTTTGAGAATTCACTTGTATTCAGAATGGCTGAAAAAGAATGCAGGGGACATGACTGCAACGATTTATTTTAAGGCAGCAGTAGCCAACAATTGACAGTAGTGCTGAGTGGGGCCCTGAGAGACATTTGAGTTGGCATCTATAACAAAGGGCTATATTGTTTTTGAAAAAATAAAACAGTATAAGACATCAGCAAGGTTCATTGTCAGGGCATTTAGTGGCTACACTGCATGTGTGCCTCCATAATTGGACAGCTTAGGTTGACAGGAACATAGCCTTACTTTCATCAACTCCATCTGGATATATAAAATATGTCTTTAGCTGAGAAGCTGTTTTGCTCAAATGATGACAGGAATTGTGAGAATGTCAACCCCATTGCTTTCTATGTATTTATACAGTAACTGGCTTTCATACAACATTTTCTTGTCTCTCCTCCTTGGAAAATTCTGATACATCACTTCTCCCATTATAGTAACATATTACAAGTCTTGGCCTTGGCTTTTGCATTCTCTTGTCATACTTTTAACTACTTTGGCAGTCTAAAGAGCAACTTAAAGCCCCAAGTTCTGGGGAGAGGGGAAATTTTCCTATACTTACAAAGTTTTAATTTAGGTCATGGTTGCATCTGTGTCACAGCAAGGGAACAGCCCAAGACCAGTCATTTGGCTGTATGAAGCCACTGCCACCAGACACCAGGAACATTCAGTGGGTGGCTTTTCTAACTAACCCAGTGATGAACCAGTCCATCATCATGACTTTTAGTGGTGATATTCTGCTGGAGCCTGTGTCTGTCAGATCAGAGCTTAAACGGAATCTCTGTCCAGCTGTTTTTTAAGTGACAGTATTTTTTGGAAAGGTTTCCATATGATTCTTGGAAATTCATTCTAGTTTCAAGTACACTAATATTCTTTGTGTCTCCTTGTTCAAAATTGCCATGTACTGCAGCTGGGTTTTACTGCAGAAGAAGGTGAAAGACTTCTTAACTATGCTCCAATTAGTTAGCAGAGTCATTAATCTGGAAATGATGATGTAAACGATGATTTTTTGTCAGTGACTTTTAACTCTTGCGATGAACGAATCATTATTAGCATTAGTATTATTGAAGTTAAAAAAGTGTTTCTCAACCTTTCATTTAGAAATAGTAGCATATAGATGTAAGCATTGTTCTGACTAGGGATTTGTGAATAGAAAAGACCAGAATTTTACATGGGATTTTCAAAAGTGTTTTATCCTGTGGCTAATTCTATTTCCATTGAAATATTAATAATTCATAGAAGTGAGTAAAGTTTAATTTGATTGTTTTGATATTCTAATGTGAAAAAAACTTATCACTAATAATTTTTATACCTTAAACACAATCACATTTACTTATCATAACCTCTAGATTTGAAAATAAAGGCTAATTACTTTTTATTTAGTAAGCACTCACATAGAATTGACAAAATCTAAAGTAATCATTAAATGATACAACAATAGACATAGGACCCTCCCCAAATACATCATGAGCATTTGGTTATGTCTGCTTTAGTGCAGTCAGAGTCTGACTGTAAGTTACGTGTGCATAGCCAAAGTATGTACTCAGCACTTTATGTAGTGATAGGATTGATACAAAAAACCTCAGGGTAGGCCATAAATTTGGGTTGAAAAGCTGGATGGATACTACTGTACTCAATTTCTATTAAACACTCTTATGTGGCTGTCAATACCTGAAGTACCTCATTCAAAGTCAGCACGAAGACATTGAGAAAAGCTACAGTTACACCTTTTTGTTTGTAATGCAGAAATGCTTTAAATAAGTTAAAAATAAAACTGGAAGTTTAAATAAACACTGAAATGTGATTTTTTTCTTCTAAGTGTATCATTCAATCAAAAATAAAAAAGATAGTGAAATGTGTCTACTTTGGACAAATGAAAGGTAACAATGAAACAGAGGATATACCAACAGGGAATCTCCTGTGCGAGAAGATGCCAACCTAGGTGCTCATTCCCATTCCAAAAACTTTAATGTTTTGACCTGTGCAGGATGTCGGAAGATATTCCACTTTGAGTTATAATGGCAAAAGACAAAAACTTACTGTGGTATTATTAGAAGGTAGACAAGGCCAAATAAGGCAGCTAAAATTAGAGAGAGAACTACAGCACTGGTGAAGTATTCATCCTGAAGCTGGTGGTACTGTTAAAGAAAGGGAGAAATGAAGACAGTAAGCATTTTATATACACCCAGCCACTCAGTAAGAAAGAACTACTGTCTAAAATAAAACAAGCTCCCATCTAGTTTACAAACATACAAGTAGAAAAACCCAGAGGAAATGTCTCTACACAACATTTTCCTTGACAGCCTTCTGTTTCACCCTGTAACTAGTCAAAACTGGGTTAGGATCAGATATAAGTTTATCTTTTGGAGCAAAGAAATCCAGAAGGAGGTGGCACTTCCTCTTCTCTACTTACTCATCATGAAAAAACACCAAACACCCCTTGGTGCTGCTTTCAAGAAGTCCTGTCACCTCAGCTGCTCCAGAACAGGACATTAACGGGTGGGCTGGAGGCAGCTGCTAATAAGACACATAGTCTCAGTTTTGAGCAGCTACTGTCCCTGATTCCACTAAGCCACAGTCCTTACAAGAGAATGCTTTTAAGCGTTTCCTGTTTTCTCAGGAAGATCCAAAGTTCAGTCTCATTTACACCAAAAAACTTTCTTATTTTGAAAGAAAACAATTACAGTTAAATAATAAATTGGTCTGGAGACTTGAAATCAAAATCAATGGTCAAGACCTTAAAAAAATATAGCCATACTGCCTTCTGACTTGAAACAGTAGTTGAATCTTAGACTATAAAGCGATGTACAGTGGAAAAATAAATGCTACTGCCAAATTAATCCAAAACCATAACACTTTTGCTTTTTCAAGCACATAAATGAAAGGCTGTAACTACAAACAATTTGTATTTTCAAACAAAACCCCTAGAAGGTACTAACAACTGTTAGCTTATATGCATGCTTCTAAGTCTGGAATAAATCCACTGCTTTCAGCACAGTCATACCTTGCCCAGAGACTTAAGATATTTTTTATATCTTCTAGAATTGATGGGATCAATACTTATCAGGCTACCTATGCAGAGGGAAGCATCCTCCTGGCATTAACACTTCTCCAGAGCAGATGAGTGAGTAGGCAGTCACATTGCCATGAGACAACGTTAAACAGGTGACACAGGTCAGTCAGTTTGGAGAAGCAAATGAAAGACCAAAACACAGGATGTGTAGCTTTATGGCGTAGGATCTTGATAAGTAGAAAGATACTGATCCATCTTTTTATCCCCTTCAAGTGTTTCCATAGAAGGTAGAGATAATGTCTTCCTCTTAACTGAGAGACAGTCCAGTGGAGTATTTAAAGGTAGTGAGGAGAATTTAAATGTTGCATAAAAACAAACGAAACCCCAATGCTAGTTGGCTCATGGTCTGTGAAATCAGTAAAAATAATTAAAAAACCCTTACTTTATTTTCACGCTCAATTTGCTTATACTTCAGGGTAATGAAGTTCAAGTCAGCCATCTCAGACTCAGTTTGCCGGGCCTCTATCAAGCGGCTGATGTATCTATTTACTCGAGTTCCTGGGGTGTTGTATACAACATTAGTAGAAAAAGAGGAACGATTCCTGAGTTTTTCAGAGGCTGTCCTTAATGCTCTCCTCTGTAGCACAGAAAAAGAAAGAAGCACGGATTTTATTAACACTGAAATTTTTCATTGTGGTTCATATTAACTCAAGCTGACAGTCAGGATGAAGAATTCATTAAACAGAACAACTAAAAAAGACAGAGATCTTAAGTCCATGTGATGAATGCAATCTTTTAAAAACTCTTTAGCTGAAATCCTGATTCCTTGAAATCAATAAGAAAATCCCCACTGCATTCCGAGATTTCAATCCAGAAATTCTCTTCACATACTGCCCTGACACTTCTCTGCCACTGAGGAAATAATCAGTTTGATTCAAATCAAACCTTCTAAAATGTTGGTTTTTTTTCTTGATGGACTACATGGAGCTCTGGTCATCTTGAGGACAAAATAACCAGTCTATTCATGACACAAGAAAAGTCCTACTGTGTAGGTAATTTTGAAAAGATAATTTTCCTTAACCTCTTGCACAATAACCACATGCAACTTCAGAGGGTCTGAAATCTCAAGTGTTCCTATCTTTAACTCACCCAAGTGGCTTTCTTGTTAAAACTTCTTGGGTATGCCTCAAGTGCACTTGCAGATCCAGATGGAGCAATCCAATAACTTATCAGGGCTAACCTCTGCCTAGCTGCCTCCTCCATGGCTTAGACAGCATGACTGGTGCTGATCACTCAAAGTCCCTTGCAGTAGAAAAGATTTATCACAGAGAATATCTGAAAGGGATTTGAAACAAGCTGTCCCACTTCTCACAGACAGTACTGAGGAGATGGTGAGCAGCATCTCAGCCACACCAGTGGCAACCTTCAGTTGAGAGCACTGTAATCTAAACCATTACAGCTAGATCTGCACTGATATGACTAGACAGGCAGGGGTCAAGCTTTATTTCCCAGGAGGGTTTTGTCAACCAGTCTCATGCAAGTTCTACTATTTCTAGAAAGTTAAAGGAATACTTTTTTATCTAACATCTGCAGAATTCAAGACAATTGAAAACATCATGAAATGATTAGTCTGCTCAGGGACAAGGACAATGTTGGCTCAGGATATGATCAGTAGAATCTGTCAGCAAACTAAATTTCTCTTTTCAGGACAGTACTTAATAGCCCAGTCTTTGGGGGCTATACTACAAAATATCCTTTTAAACCAGATGGCAAAAAAGGTGGTGATCGCTATTTAAGTAATCTTGCAGGAATGGCAGTTTCCTGTCTTGCTCCACAAAAAGTGAGATCCTCATCAGTGAACAAAATGTGGACTACAGCAGTTCATTAGCTTACATAGCTTATGTTACATGTATATTATACCAGAATATTTATGAAGAGTGGGAACAGTTATCTACTGACTGATACCTTAGTTTTCCAATTGTAAAGAAAAATGGACCTGAGCAAAGATAAAATAACTTTCCAAGTCTTGCTTTGCTGGCTTTATAGGTAGACAGCAGATTATACCACCAGTAAACAATTATGAGGCTACTTGAAACATTTTTATTCATCTTATCAGATCCCATTACTTGCTAAATTGTCTGCGGTGCAAGAACTAATTGTTTCAACATTTGGGACATATATGGATTAGAGTTTTCAACTCTGATCTTCTGGGTTCTGTTAGGCATAATTCAAATCTTAAATTGCCAGCCAAACAACTATTCTCAATGTTTCTAAACAGGGATAAATTTGTTCTCTTGCAGAAGACATTTGCTTCATTATTTTGTAAAAAAAAAGTGCTTTCAGTTGTCAGGAATACACAATTTTGGTCTTCATAAGCCATAATTAGTTAGCATATGGATTGCATAAGATCCATCAGAAAGTATATATTTGGGGATTCTTTATAATTCAGATTTAAATCTATACTATAACAACTGGGGTGAGCCAAAAAGCATTTGAAAATGTCTCTTTGCTTTAAAATCTGGAATGAGGGTATGTGATGGGTGTTATTCTGAATACACAATTTTGGTCTTCATAAGCCATAATTAGTTAGCATATGGATTGCATAAGATCCATCAGAAAGTATATATTTGGGGATTCTTTATAATTCAGATTTAAATCTATACTATAACAACTGGGGTGAGCCAAAAAGCATTTGAAAATGTCTCTTTGCTTTAAAATCTGGAATGAGGGTATGTGATGGGTGTTATTCTGACATGGAGTAAATTATATTATCGATTCTGCCATTTTCAAATAGGGTTAAAGTTCCTGTTCTTAATGAAAATAGCTGTTTCTCCTCTGTTATTATTTTGCACAGTAGACTTACATTATCTCTTATATGCGACAGAAGATCTATCTTATAGATAGACTAAGATCCAGTATTTCTAATTTCTCATAAATCTACTGGCTTCAAAGCCTTTAAAGCCCTCACTTGTTTTACATGATTTACATGATTTGAGGACTGAAAGCTCTGAAGAAACTCTGCATTGCAACACTGTGTATTTATATTAAAATCACATAATATAAATCCATGATAAGTGTTATATAAAAGCTACAGAAGCTCAAAACAACTGGTTCAGTTAACTGTAGACCTTCACTGGAAACGTTCTGACATTCAGAAAATTTTCATCAGATCCATAGAAAACCCATATGGGGATTTTCTGTGTATATTACCATATTTATACATACATATACACAAGATACAATGAAAACTATGGCATATGATTCAAAGAATGTGTGGGTTACTTTTTTTAAATTCTGAAAGACAGCACTAATTCACACTGGAAGGCCTTGTACATGGCCAATTTCAAAATCAAATCTGGAGTTTCTGAAAGTCTTCACTGGAACTGTGTTTTCAAGGAACTAACAGACTTTTCACCCCTTTTCCAACAGAAGAAACACAAACACATGTAAAACCCAAAATATGAAAGTTATAATGCTTTCTGAAAATAAGATTTAGTCTGAATTTTCAATAAATGTACATCATTAAACACGCACAAAAAGAATGTGGAGCAATCAGTCAAGATGAATTACTGATTCCAATGCACACATGCCTTGCTTTGGAGCACTGGTGGAGTGACCTAGGTAATATTGCCACCTGCTGGCAAAGAAAATGGAATGAACAACACTTGAAAGTTTTCTGTCCATAAATTTCTGGGTAGATTCATACACAGAAAAGGAAGCAAATCAGGCTACTAGTATGTAAAGCAATTTTATGGCATTACAAGGTGTTCAAGAAAGCAGAATTCTTATGTGTATTAGGGACTAAGAGGGCTAATCAGTTGCCTTTCATTTTTCAGAGAACCATCCAGAGATACAAAATTATTCTGTTGTTTTGCATTTGCCACCATCGGCTTCAGGCTGTGAAGGACACAAGATGCAAGAGAATTGCTCTTTGTAACTGTGGAAAACCCCTCAGAAACTGTTAATTCCTGTGAATAAAGTCCTTAATAGAAGCCACATAGGCCACTGGTTCTCTTTCTAAGAGGATCTCCAAATTTGAAGCCTTTTATAACTGAGTTTTGTCTTTACTGTGAGCATCAGATAGCTCTAGCTTCGGCAGGAACACGAGAAACATCTGTAACATCAGTACACCAGTAACATCACCCCATATGTTCTCAAAGCAGGTCTGCTTGATGCAGTTCTGGAACATATGCCCAAAGAACCCACACGACCCACATGGATTACCTTATCATCATCCTCACACGTCATGACGTTGGAGAAAGGGATCTCTGCTTTGAACATCTTACGACAGTGCATGAGCTGAACGAGCAGATAGCAGACTGTCTTAAACTTCATTCTTTTGGCAGGCTTAATGTCTGACAGAATCAGTCCAGGAAATATCTGTTGGACAGAAAAATAGCATTTATAACTGTCATTACTTTCCCACGCTACCTGCAGGCATTTGCACCACCTGGTGGTCAGAAAAATGGAGTAGTTTAATCAGGAAGCAATGCATTTTGATACAAATACTACATTTTCAAATGAAGATTACTATGTCTTTTTTTTTAACCTGAGATGTAAAGAATCTATTGAGCAGACTTTACTTAAACTCATACTTAACATTTTGGGAACTGTTTTCTACTCAGATATGTAGACTATAAAAAAGTGCATTAATGACAAACTCATAAAAGAGGCAATATTTGTATTTCTTTAACATTTAAATAAATTCTGGAAAAATATAGACAAAAATAAGGACAAAATCAACATTTTTATTCATTTAGGTTAAAAATATGATTTCAGACTTTTCCTTCTTTCCTCATTTTGCTACTTCTGCCATTAAAATCTTCAGAGAATAGCTTTTGCTTAAAAGATTGACATATATTTGCCTTAAAAGGAGGCTGTGCAGCACTGAAGTTATATCTTACATCTTATTTCTTCAAAGTGAGAAGTGTTATACCACAGTGAAATACTCTCAAAGGGTTGGGTATAACATATTCCTTTTACCATGGAATTCCCAGTTCACCAAGGACAAATATTTTGTTGGTTAACTCTTAAGCATGTATTTAACTCTTGCTGATTTCAGTAAACCCCTAGCATGCATTCTGATGATTTCACAATCAGAATATTCTATCCTTAGTATTTACACCAAACTTATTCATGCTTCTGGCATGTGGAATGTGGAAAGCAGTGTTAATGAGAAATGTGGAAGGACCCAATGCCACCACAGTATGGGAATTTAAGCTTGGAAAATTAATCTGTAATAGCAAAATAAAGAAGCACAGATTATTTGGTCTCCAGCGTTTCTATGTACAAAATACAGAGCAAATCACACTCCAAAACCCCTAAATGCTCTAAAACCCACAAATGGCACTGAGAATTTGCTGTGTGGTCTTCACAATACTGAGATTTACTAGAGCCATTTACATCATTATTTCAATGATTAAAGAATAAAGAAGAAACTGGAAGCATTTGTTTAATGAATGTTTTCATGGATGCCTAAAGGTAGAGAGACAGGACAAATGACACTGCTTACTTTCTGAATGGCATCACAGATACTGGTTTACTGTGATGTTTAATGCATACAGTCATGCACTTGCATTTTCTGGAGAACCAAGTCTATATATCACTGAACTTCCAAAACTCTGTTTAGTGGGTGGCTATGAAACACAAAAAATGACAAATATGTTGCACATTTTTTTATTAGCAGATGGCCATGTTATAAATATGTAACATGTTTTAAATGTATAAAGGTGCCTAGGTATGCACATATGCTTAGGTATGCACATGTGCACTGAAATGCTCACTGACACCAGCACTGCACTGCATTGCATGGTCATCAACTGAAATCTGAAAGGACATTAGTGTATCCAGTGTGCAAACCCTTGTATAAGTGATAGTTTAACAAGAGTCTCCACAAATTCTTCCAATATGAACCCTTTCCTTTGAGGGCTTTCTGGCACTGAATTGCATAGAAGATAATGTACAAGGATATTCACATATTAATCACCCTTTAAGTATTCCTAAGGACACCGAGTAAATAGTTGTTAGGTTTGAGTATGGCAGATATGATCAGCTTTTGAGCTACCATTCCCAACAGCTAAAATATACTTTTTGCAGAGGTTCTCCATTTACAAATTTTCCTAATGTAGCCATAATTCCCCTAGAAGTTCTATATATTATATTCAGTCTCCCTATCAATTTGTTGATACAACCAAAATGAGAAACTTTCTTGAAACTCCCTCCAGTATCACAGACTGTTTCATTTTACTTTAAGACACAGGGATAAAAAGGGAATAGACAGAATTTTACAGGACCATATCTCAAGAGGTCATTGGTTCATTCTTTGCTCAAACCTTTCACTGTGGGCATTGCATTAATTAGGTCAGCAACTTTGGTTTTAGCTCACCATTAGACTCACTTGGAAAGATGCTCTTATATAAGCTCAGAGAGCTACAAAAGCTGCCTGACAGCCTTGATTATGGAAATGCCACAGTACAGATGTAAGAGTGGCAAAGAATAGGTAAAACCTCAGCAAAAGATTCAAGAAGGCATGACTGCTCAAGGTGAGCACATGGGCATGACTATATCCTCACACAAAGATTTGAAGTCCAAGGAAAATAGAAGAATTTAAACTTTCCTCCTTGCAAATATCTCATAATATATGTGGTTTCTGAGAACAACCTTCAACTTGAAATCTTGGAATGGATACAGTTTGATTCAGGCAGTGTGGCTCTGCCACCAACATGACTTTTCTTCAGCCACATAATTTCATGCAGTTTCTCGAATTTATCTTCAAATAAGTAGGTAGAACATTTTTAGCTCATACCATCAACCAGTCCCTTTTAGTTAATAAATCTTAAGGGCATAATATAATAGTAATACACCAATAGTACACATCCTGTATATGTTGGAAATGCAGTGAAGTTTTCCAACTGATTTGGAGTAAATAGAATTTTTTCAGCTCAGATCACTGAAATAAATGGAATAGTGTGTCTACTTCTCAGCTCCCTAGTACAAGAAAAACAATGACAAACTGGAGTGACTTCAGCAAAGGTTCACAGAAACAATTAGGGTTCTAAAGCATATGACACAGGAGGAAAACCGGAGAGAGTTCAGTTCATTTAGTTGGAAGAAGAGAAGGCTAAGGAGGGATCTAATTGCTATCTTCAGCCACCTAAGCAGTAGTTGGAGAAAGAGCCAGACTCATCCCAAATATTACTGAGAAAAAGCACAAGAGGCAATGAATATAGCTATACCACGGGAAATTACTATTTGATACAAAAAATGCAAGTTTAATTGTGAGGATGATTGTGTGCTGGAGTAGGCTGCCCAGAGAGGCTGCTGAATCTCCAGCCAGGGAAACACTCAGCACTCACTCAAGTGGACCTAATTGCAAAGCTTGCCCTGCTTTGAGCAAGGAGGTTGACCACATGACCTCCAAAGGGCCCTTCCAAATTCAGCTACTGTGCAATGCTATGAAAATTTGTGGAACACACGTAGCTACAGTTCTTCATGGCTGGCCAAGAACATAACCACTCAAAGGACATTGCATACACACAAGTTGGGCACCCTGGCAGTTCTCAGCAGATCATCTATAATTTTATATGCAGTTTTGGTTGGTAGGCTGTGTTGGGTTTTTTTAATCTAGTGGTTGTAGGGCATAGAGATTCTGCACTGGGACTGAGGATTTTCCATTCTACTATTATATATACACAATATCAAAAATACAAAGGAATTCACTCTCATCTTACAAATGTCCCTTTTTTATTCTTGCTTTTACAGCAGAACCACACTTTTGACACAGTGAACCTCTGAGTGAAATATTTAAGCAATCTCACTTTCTGCTGTAAGTCTCTGTTAAAGGCAAAAAATGCAGTACACTCTCTTAAAACAGACTTACAAAAAAAACCTTAACAAAAAACCTAACCCCAGTGTCTTTCATTCTGCTTTTTCTCTGAACTTACTGAAGGTCAGCATTACAGGAAAGCTGAACTGCAGCATTCTCATTCCAGCTCATTTCATCAATGATTTTACTTTCACACTTCTTTTTAACCCTCAGAGTCATCTCTAATTATATTAACTGTTCATTTACTTCATAATTTTAAAAACTAAATGGTTGTTTTCTGCAGCACAGTTGGCAAATAAGGTTAAGAGCTGGGATTTTCTAACAGAGCACTCTAAAAGCAGCCGGTCCATCTATGGCTTTGTGAATGTTTTTAGGTATGCAGAAAACAAAGAAGCACTGATAAAAATCCTGGGAAAACACCCCAGTGTTTGAATGTCATGCAATATTCTGCTAAGTGTTTAACTGATGCTCATCTGGGATCGTCAGAAATGTCAGCAGACTCTTATTCCCCTGACTGTATTCAACCACACTGCATAAAATGGCATGGGAAAGGCAATACTGATGATATTCAAAATAGATTTAAAGAAGTCATAAATGCTGTAGCACTCTGTCTGTCTGTGCTTTCTGTCTTCAGGCAGGCAGGACCCTGCCTCTTGGTAGTAGTGTTTGTTCCATTACTATTTTCAAGTAATTTTGTCCAGACATAGGTGAGTAAATAATTTTTTTCCTTCTTTTTTTTTCCTTCTAGTTAAAATCTTCAGACACTTGCTTTTCCATCCTTTTCTACTGCCCTTATGACACATTTTGCTTAGCACACCTCAGCTGTCCATCAGGAAAGTATATTAGTGATTTTTACCAGAAAATAATACAGCTTCTAAGAGACAAATTTTTAACATTCAGAACAGTATGACCACTTTCTTGACACAGATGTAGAAAAAGTTTTTAGAAGCTGCAAAGACTAAAACAATCTCTAGGAGATCAGTAATAGAAAATATCTTCTACCAGTGCCCTATGTTTCTGTCGCCTACAGATTCCACATTTATGGAGGAAGAAAAAGGGAGGAGAGTGATGTTGAAGCACATAACTAATTCTACCATCACTGCCAGCCCAAGCTTCAGGCTGCCACATTGACAATGATGCACTAGCAGTTTCACAGCAACTGCAGAAACAATCCTGAAGATGTAGAGCAATACACTCTGCAGCACAAACATCATACTTCTGTCTGAGTTTGCTGGGTAGTAACACAAGTAATTTATTTCCAATGTTTCCAACAACTTATGCAATGCAAAGTCTCAGGCATCAGACCCTGTCCAGATACAATCTAGAGCTTCCATTAAAAGGCTGTGTGTCTACCTGTTAAATCAGGCCTGCTAAGATATGGATCTATGATATTAAAACCTGAAATGCCCAAGTTATGCATTCAGATCTCTAGTTAAATTCCTTGGTAGGAGCTGTGAGCCACTGAGAGCAAACAACACCCCTGGACTCTCCAAGTTATGGCAGCAGTGGTAGCTGCAGGTAGTTGTCAATTTGAAAGCAGAAATCATCAGCGTGT